CCCCAACTGCGAGCGCCGCAAGAAGGTAGCCCCCCCACCCGCCCGCGCCCCAAAAAGCATCCCCTGCCCTTCCCGGTCCCCGGGGGGAAGATGGGGGACGAGGGGAGGTGACCCCTCGTGTCCCCCTGTAGCCGGGGAGTTTGGGAAGCGGCTGTTTCTACGATGCCGGAGCGGCGTTTTCCCCGAGAAACGGCCGTAAAGCGGCCGCCCCGACTGCTGGATTTCTGCTTGCTCCTCCGCAGCGGCGAGTGACGACTGTTGCTTTCTCTCTCACGCCAGAACGCGTTCGTGGGCTTAACGAACCTCGGCGCCACGTGCTACGTGAACACTTTCTTGCAGATGTGGTTTCTTAACTTGGAGCTCCGACAAGCCCTCTACTTGTGTCCCAGCACCTGCAGCGAGTACGCGGCCGGAGAGGGCATCCCGAAAGACAAAGGTGGGTGGTTTTGCTCATTTTCTCCTAAAATTTTACACGCTGGCGTCAGCTTTGGGTTAACGTTTACCGGGAGAAGTGATGGGTGAAGCTACAACCACTCGTCCGATCTCCACTCGGCTCTTTTTGAGTCCATCACCCAGCTTTTAGGAACAAACCGTCCTTCACCTGAGTTATTTCTTAAATGGGAGTGATCTGATCCGGTTGAAAAATCGGATTTGGGTTTGTTTCTTGCCGGGCTGCTTCCCAAACTGGTTCCCAGCTTGATGATGGTGCTGGGGGTGGAAGCACATGGGTTGGGGCTGATCTGCGCTACCGTGGAGCCGCACTCATCCCATGGGGGGGCAAAAATTCAGGTCCCCGGTACGAACGAGGCTCCCGGTTGCCCGCGCGGCGGACGCGGTGGCCTCGGGTGACGTACGTTTATGTATGGTATGGCGCTGTAGGCGCACTCTGGGTCAGGGCAGCCGCCCCGTTTCTTCTGTTCCTGTTTTTATGGTATTTTTAAACGACGCCTCACCGTTTAGGGTGAAAAAGAAGCTGTTGCTACGGGGTAATCGGCGCACGCTGCTTAAACCGTTCACCCACAGCTCGTGCCAGGCACCGCGGGACGTTTACGGTTGGACTCGATGATCTTGAGGCTCTTTTCCAATCTAAACGATTCTATGATATTTGGCCTGTGCTGGGACTTTGCCGTCATCACGGGCATGAACCGCTTCGGTTCTCAGGATAATTGAAAGCAGCTTTAAAAAAACGTATCGTTTCTAATCATTAAATTTACCCTTGCAAAGAAAGAACAAGCGAATTACTTGGAACTGTGGCCTCTTGCCTTGAATTGCTTGCTGTAACTCGTGCAACTTGTTGTTTTTAACAGACTATGAGCCTCAGACCATTTGCGAACACCTCCAGTACTTGTTCGCCTTGCTGCAGAACAGCAAAAGGCGATACATCGATCCCTCTGGGTTCGTCAAAGCGCTGGGCTTGGACACGGGACAGCAGCAGGTAGGTTTGAGGCGCGCCCCTCGAGTGCTCAGGGCCCCATCTGAAATCGTTCTTCTTTCGGGTCACTTGATAGAGAGGGTTTACAATCAGACTGTAATTCGGAATATGCATTCTCCAAAAACCCACGACGCCTAGGAAAGCTTGTGTTTCCTTTTTGCTAGTTGGTGGAGACATGGCTGTTATTTTGTTGATCACATCCATATAAGAAGAGAAGGTAATCCTTCTCTAAAGCAGCGTGAAACCACCCTTTTATGTCATTTTAGCATCTCTGAGCCGGGATCTGCTGGCCCCGTACAAACACAGAGGGAGAAGCCGTGCTCAGGGCCCTTCCCGTCGGCCTGGGAGATCAGGAGGAGCCATGGGATGGGGACGGGGGGGAGTCTTGTTAGAGCCTGATTGACCCCGGCACCCTGCGGGGTGGCGACCGAAGCTGCCAGGAGGGTGCTTTCGCAGGTGCTTTATGGGCTGCTCCTCCCAGGGCAGGGAAATACTTGGCAGTGGATAGTTCAATGGGGGTTGAAGGGCCCTCGCGGCGCGAGAAGGCGTTTGGTCGGGTCACCGAGAGCCAGCCAAGGCCCAACGTGAGCGTGTGGGGCAGAGAGAAGCACGGTTAGAGAGGGGCGAGCACCGCAGGGCTGTCACCGAAGCTGAAGAGAGCTCAGGAGAAGGGCACGGCTTGAAAAATACACTTTGAGGAGTAAGAGGGAGATAGTTGGAGGAAGAGCCCGAGCGCTAGCGTGCGTTTCCTCAGGAGGATGCAGGAGGGGAAGGAAGCAGTCACTGCCGACCGGCGATACTAAGGGACAGCTGGGAGAGGCCAAAGCCCGTTTGTTTTCGGAAGGGGAGAGCAAAGGAGAGCCAGGGTGGGAGAGGAGGGCCCCGAGATGAGTGTGGGGAAGCTCGCAAGCCTTGCAGGAGGGGACGAGTCCACAGGGCAGCTGCTCATTTTTGGGGTGGTTTTATTTTTCGTCTCGCCTATAACGCAAGCAGGGACAGCTTGAGTTGCGTGCTGAGCTTTGAAAAACGAGCGGTAACGGGATAGTAAGCTCTGTGGGAGTTTGTTTTTTTTTCCTTCCAGAGCCCTGCGAGGAGCGGGGCAGAAGTCGAACCACCCGGCGCGGCTGGCCGGGAGCCAGGGTAACTCACGGCGGGGTCTCACGCTGGGGGCCTCGTGCTCCTTTTAGGCAAATTCCTCTTTTTCTTTAGTTCTCCCGGCTGGTCTTTCTTTCTATTCAGTGCACGCCGGAGCCTCCGTGCAGCCCGTCGGGCTCCGGGTAATTTGCAGTAAATTAGCGGCAAGGTTGTGATTGGGCTTTGTGCTGCGGCGCATTGTTAACGGACTTGGCTTTCTCTTCTAGGATGCCCAGGAGTTTTCAAAGCTGTTCATGTCACTGCTGGAAGATACTTTATCCAAACAAAAAAACCCAGATGTTCGAAACATAGTGCAAAAGCAGTTCTGTGGAGAGTACGCCTATGTCACGGTGTAAGTATTTGGTCTTCGGGAAGAACCTTTCTGTAAATATTTAAACATTTTAGAAGAAGTTGAGGGGGGGAAGGATCCTCCTAACAGCCGGGGCAGGCAGGTAAGCTTCTGCCGAAACATTTTGTAAGAGGCTTTTAGGTTTCCTGATTCTGCGCACGTGGTGGGGGTGCAGTTCTCCAGCTGCTTTTAATCCCTTAATGAAAATTTACCAACTAAACCTGCGAGTTAATGGAACGTCAAGTCCCGCAGCCAGAAAATGGAGTACTCGGGTGTCATATTTTCATTCCTGCGTTCTCCGAGCTGTGGATTTCACCTCAAAAATGATATAAAATGGCGTATGCGAGTTGTAAACAGGTGCTCCTGGTTTTCCTGGTAGATGCTATTATCCTGTTTACACCTCCTTGCAGAGTTTTTGTGGTGCAGAGGCGTGAACCACATTAATTCTGACTTAAGCAACTTTTTCTCCTGGTTTTGTAGCTCAAGGAGTAGTTTACTAGTGGCTGGGGAGTGGAGACACACGAACCAGTGAACTGTCCTCATGTGGTTTTGTCTTTTTTTTTAATCCTAGTTGCAACCAGTGTGGCAGGGAGTCCAAACTCGTGTCTAAATTTTACGAGCTGGAGTTAAACATCCAAGGGCACAAGCAGTTGACGGACTGTGTAACGGAATTTCTTAAGGTACGAGCTCGTCGGGTTTTGAGTTCTGCTATTCTTAGCAAGGTGTGTTAATTCCTTCCTTCAATTAACAGCCTTTGAGGTCGGGATCGGAGCGAAGCGACTGAGTTGTCTCAGTGAGATTCATCCAAAAGGAAATGTTGTTTTTCTGCGGACCCAGAAAATGAGGATTGAGTCATACCAGCAAGGAGTGGCTCCGGACCAGAGCGTAGCACACGCGCGTGTTATGGCTTTAAAAAGCCATGTTACGGCTTTAAAGTCACATGTTCAGTTAAAATACTTTCCCAGCAAAGTTGGGAAAAAGTCCCCAAAGTCTGACAAAAAGTCCCTGCGTGCTTTGTCATGGATAGCACCGGGAGAATGGCTGCTTTTTGTGTTTTCTGTGTCGGTGCTCATCTGCATAGCAACAGGAGACATTCCCCGCTGTAAAACGTGCTCTCAGAAATACTAGGGAGGGCCGGGAATAGCTGCAAGTGCTCTTAACTGGACTTGAAAATTTGCCTAGATCTTAAGTTAAGATCTGGCACGTTAAAGGTTTGAGGTGTGGATTCAACTAAAAATATTTAGGACAGAACTAACCTGAAACGTGACTCTCTACTTGAGCTGTCTGGCTGTTGGGCAGCGGCTTCGCTGGCGCGCTCAGCAAACCGGTTGCTCTGCTTGCGGAAGGTCTGCTATGAAAAAACTGGTTTGTGTACGCGCATTAAAATCCCGAAACGGTGAACTTCAAGTTTGTCTGCTCCTCCTTCAAATGAAACAACCCAGTGACCTTGTTTAGGCAGTCGGAGTTCTCCTCTGGCTTAATCCTGCCGTTGGATCTACTTAGGCGTAGACAATGACTCTTACACGGTGACGTTTGTGTGGCTGAGCACAGGAAGATTGTAGTTTCCAGGCTAAAATGTGGCTTTACATTAACTTGGTCCATGTGAGCTCGTAAAAGGGCGATTTAATTATTTTCTTTTTCCATAGCCCTCGGTATAAACCGACTCAGTCAAGCGGAGAGCAAACCTGACAGTCTTGTAAGCGACCTGAGAACAGGGCTTGATTCGGTCTAAAATTTTCCGTAAAGTGAGAGAGAGCAGCCTACTACGGCCATGCTGAAAGCGCGTTTATTAGCGTGCATTTTTAACCAAGAGATTATATTGGAAAGCAGCTGGGTAGAGACCTAAGTGGTTAAAATAACTTCCGTGCTTCTCAGTCTCCAGCTGTTGAGTAGCTTGGACTGGTTGACTTTTCAGCGATAACCTGTTCTCAAGACCTTTCTTTCTGCCTCCCCTCCCCGCTCAGGAAGAAAAATTGGAAGGGGACAATCGTTATTTTTGCGAAACTTGTCAGAGCAAGCAGAACGCCACGAGGAAGATCAGGCTGCTCAGTCTTCCCTGCACGCTCAACCTGCAGCTGATGCGTTTCGTGTTTGACAGGTAAGCCTCTCGCTGGAGAGCGTGCTGTAAAAGCGGGAGCGCCCTGGGTTGCGTGGAAGCTCTTTGGAAAGTCGTCTGCTCTGCCCTTTCTGCACTGATTTGAGGGATTGAGTGCGTGCGTGAGCTTCTCTGGGGATGCTCGGTGGGTCTCGAGGAGAGTTATTTTGAGATGTGAACTGTTACTGCTCTCCCCTGAACCGAAGCTTTGCCTCCGCACAGACAAACTGGCCATAAGAAAA